CCCCCAGTGAGTTCCAAGCAAACACTCTCTGATTTATTGTTCGTGTATTTCACCTCCCAAAATATTGTGCATCATACTATAGAGCATTTTGCTGTTGTCATGCTTCAGCATGGTTCAAATTTATGAATTTTTATTATATAAAGTATTGCGTTTTACAGAGATTTCGAGTACTGATAAAAATGATAATCTCACATGTGAAATTATTCGTGATAATCTCACATGTGAAAATTATCGCCTTTTCAATTATCGCTTTTCTGTAAAAATTATCGCTTTTCATTTAAGACTGTCCTTTATATAATAAACCGAAAAATACATGGGTGGTTGGAAATACCAGATTTATTTTTCGTGTTGAACATGACATCTCACTCGTTCGCTGCGCTCACTTGTTCGCTGCACACTCATGTTCAACACTCGAAATAAATCTGGTATTTCGTGCACCCATGTATTATTCTCTATTTAAACTACAACTTGACTGGTTTAAATTATTATCAAGTTTTCAGTGATTGTAAAAGTTGCAGATAGAAGTGCTTTGTTTTACATTATTATCAAGTTATCAGTGATCGCAAAACCTCCAAATCCTTAATTTCAAATGTTAGAATGTTAGGGTTTGTAATCCAAGTGAGACTATATACATTTTAAGACCTAACCAGGAACGACTGCGAAAAATGCAGCGCAAGGTCCTCTGGTAGGAATTTAACCTACGGCCCTGCGATTCCGGTGCAGCGCTCTAACCAACTGAGCTACAGAGGCCAGCTGTTGAGCTTTAACCGTAAGTTCATGTATATTTAGGTAATCGGGTGTGCGGGTTATGATAAGGTGGACTTCAATAATTTGGATTCTTGCACTTCACTTGGTGGACTTACTATTAGAATGTTAGGGTTTGTAATCCAAGTGAGAATATATACATTTTAAGACCTAACCAGGAACGACTGCGAAAAATGCAGCACAAGGTCCTCTGGTAGGAATTGAACCTACGGCCCTGCGATTTCGGTGCAGCGCTCTAACCAACTGAGCTACAGAGGCCAGCTGTTGAGCTGTAACCGTAAGTTCATGTATATATAGGTGATCGGGTGTGCGGGTTGTGATAAGGTGGACTTCAATGATCTAGTTTCTTGCACTTCAATTGGTGGAATTAATATTTGAATGCTGTTCTTAGGGTTTGTAATCCAAGTGAGTATATATATATATATACATTTTAAGACCTGACCAGGAACGATTGCGAAAAATGCAGCACAAGGTCCTCTGGTAGGAATTGAACCTACGGCCCTGCGATTCCGGTGCAGCGCACTAACCAACTGAGCTACAGAGGCCAGCTGTTGAGCTTTAACCGTAAGTTCATGTATATTTAGGTAATCGGGTGTGCGGGTTGTGATAAGGTGGACTTCAATAATTTGGATTCTTGCACTTCACTTGGTCGACTTACTATTAGAATGTTAGGGATTGTAATCCAAGTGAGAATATATACATTTTAAGACCTAACCAGGAACGACTGCGAAAAATGCAGCACAAGGTCCTCTGGTAGAAATTGAACCTACGGCCCTGCGATTCCGGTGCAGCGCTCTAACCAACTGAGCTACAGAGGCCAGCTGTTGAGCTTTAACCGTAAGTTCATGTATATTTAGGTAATCGGGTGTGCGGGTTGTGATAAGGTGGACTTCAATAATTTGGATTCTTGTACTTCACTTGTTGGAATTAATATTAGAATGTTAGGGTTTGTAATCCAAGTGAGAATATATACATTTTAAGACCTAACCAGGAACGACTGCAAAAAATGCAGCACAAGGTCCTCTGGTAGGAATTGAACCTACGGCCCTGCGATTCCGGTGCAGCGCTCTAACCAACTGAGCTACAGAGGCCAGCTGTTGAGCTTTAACCGTAAGTTCATGTATATTTAGGTAATCGGGTGTGCGGGTTGTGATAAGGTGGACTTCAATAATTTGGATTCTTGGACTTCACTTGTTGGAATTAACATTAGAATGGTAGGGTTTGTAATCCAAGTGAGAATATATACATTTTAAGACCTAACCAGGAACGACTGCGAAAAATGCAGCACAAGGTCCTCTGGTAGGAATTGAACCTACGGCCCTGTGATTCCGGTGCAGTGCTCTAACCAACTGAGCTACAGAGGCCAGCTGTTGAGCTTTAACCGTAAGTTCATGTATATTTAGGTAATCGGGTGTGCGGGTTGTGATAAGGTGGACTTCAATAATTTGGATTCTTGCGCTTCACTTGTTGGAATTAATATTAGAATGGTAGGGTTTGTAATCCAAGTGAGAATATATACATTTTAAGACTTAACCAGGAACGACTGCGAAAAATGCAGCACAAGGTCCTCTGGTAGGAATTTAACCTACGGCCCTCAGCGATTCCGGTGCAGCACTCTAACCAACTGAGCTACAGAGGCCAGCTGTTGAGCTTTAACCGTAAGTACAGTACTGCCAAGAAATAACTTGTCCCCGCGTCTGCCCGCGTCCTGCCTCCAGAGCGCCCGCGTCTTGCGTCCACTCTGCCCGCGTCCTGCCTCCAGAGCGCCCGCGTCCGGCCTCCAAGACGCCCGCGTCTTGCGTCTGCTCTGCCCGCGTCCTGCCTCCAGAGCGCCCGCGTCCGGCCTCCAACTAAAAACTGCGTCCGCTTGGACGCAGTCGTCGTAACATAATCGGAAAAACGAACTAATATTTGCATCATACTCGTAGTTTGTCGTGAGAATACAGATCAGTGTCACTAATCGGGGAAGCGAAGAATAAAAAGTTGAATCCGAAAATGAGTTTATGATATCGAACCTAAGCGTTACATTTATAGTATACCCTTTTATAATGTTGTCGAAATCGTGTTCAAAGCTGATATGATAACTCATGCCTAACCGGTAATAACATTGAATAGTTGTAAAATACTCTATAAATTGGAAACACACTAAATACGTATAAACTATTATGCGACTAGCACCATCCATTTTACAAATACAAAATCCATGTATTAAATGTTAACTTCGAACGAAGTAAAACAAAATTCAAAACCGATTCATCTACGTTCCGAATTAGCGTTGCCGTTGAATTCAGTAGGTATCAAAACAGAAATCACACGTACTCAAATCGAAGCGTGTGTATATTGGAGCGTAAAATATGTTAGACATAAACTATATAAATATAATATAAACGCATATGAATTCAGTGAGATCACGACTACAACAACATATATCTCGCAACATGTAAATTTGATACTCAATTTCTGACTTACCTCCGTAGAACTGATTGCCGATTAATTGATATATGCAACTCCGTAACTCGTCAGTATATTAAAATGAAGATGGTCATTACAATATATACGTAGTGCTGTTGATTTTTCATATAAAATATTACTACGAGCCACTATATAGCTTTATTCACAGCACCAAGTTCTCCAAAGCAAATTAAATACGCATGGTGATATGTCATATACATTTGCATACATCGCCCACGGTCTCTCAGCTACGGCAATATGCGTGGCACACTTGAGTGAAAAAGTGGAGTTTTTCATTTGAAATCTCTATGCATGCAATCATAAACATAACTTAATGCTATCTATAGTTATTCTTACAGCTCTTAATAACAATGACTTGGTAGACTAGGAAATTTCAAATATTATTTTAAGCGTAACTTTAAGCTCACTCACGTGTGCGTGTATGTAGACAACACGTGTATTTATAAAGTCATTTTATTTATACATAAATTTTCAAACATTCATTCTACAATTGAGCAACTGAATTGACACTATATACCGCTGATGGTGTACGTTAGCGTTCAGCGATAATAAAGCTTGAATCGCAAATATGGAAAAAGTCACTCGAAAAGCGCTCTTAGACTTAGTGATATAAAATAGAGCTTGAATCTAAAATCTGCGAATGGAAAAAGTCAACCGAAAAGCGCTGCTAGTCATATAAAATAGACTTCAGTTTCAAAGGTGATGCTATATGAATTACTTTTAGCACCAAAAATCGTTTCGCGTTTGACCTTGTCACTATTTAGTAAGCAGCGACAATGAGTTCGATTTAGATTTGGCGATATCTAAATACACTCCAGTTTCAAAGGTTATGCTATATGCATTGCTATAAGCACCAAGAATCGTTTCGCGTTTGACCTCTCTATGCAACAACAATAAGTTCGTGAGTTGGCCGTTTAGATTTTGCGATGTCTATATTAGAAACATTTGGTAACATCGCATATGGACTTAAAAATCGTTTCGACCGATTGTATTTAGCAAACGTCGTGTATTTCGCGGTCACGACCCACAATTCGCTTTGAAATTTAAAGTGTTTATGATTGAAACTTAGCGATGTCGCTTTGAAATATTTAACGAAGTATTAGCAATTAACATATCATGATTATTTTATCTAAACTCTAAAAAACAGTTTTGGCCGACATAGAATTTAGCAAGCGTCGTGTATTTCGCGCCTGCACGCGCGAAATTTCTGACCCGTTATGCTTGGTCAGGTATTTCGCAGAGGTCAGGAATTTCGCTTGACACCGGTTAACCATGCAGGCTGAAAATCATCATGAAATCGACGGGACATTTCAACCCAGGTTATAAAAACAGCATTTACAGTTTCATTGACTATTTTTAAATGTAAAAGCCAAAAGGTGTATGTAAAGGTATGCCCAGCTCAATGCATACGAATCATTACTATAAATAACCAGAGCACTATTTTGGACTTGTTATTGCAATTATAAATTGATCATTACCAGATAATTTCTGGATAAATTACTTCTCTTAATCCCTCAATGAATACCTTTACATGTCCAGGAAACAGTCTTTGTGTTTCAATGACTGTGACTCATCGCCTGATTTTCAAAGTTGCAGTATTGTCTATTGCCGTATTGGTTAAATCACAACATTCGATATTCGCTAAAGCCGAAGTGAACAGCTCAGACTACTACAGTATTAATATTTGAATACTCGACCAGCACAGTTACTATCAGACCACTACAATGAGCTATCGATCACTTACTCGTCAACCAAAACGTATGTTGGTTTTTTTCGAAGAGGATAAAACCACGTCCATTTTGCCAATCGGCAATGTTAAAAGGATACTGGGTTCAAATCAAACGTTGATCGAAGGTGCAAAAGTAGAGGTTGACTACGAAAAGAAACTTTATGAAGCACAAATTCTGAAACTTCACGGTAAGTTTAATATTAGAAATATAAAAAGTGTTATTATAATTTTATCGATTTATTCGCTTATAATATATAAATGTCATTGTCTGTAACTGACAAGTAGGGCCATAAGCCGCGGCTTAAATAAATCGCGAACAACTAGTATAAACAGTCAATTTCCAGTAAGCCGCGGTTTATTTAGGCCTAGCTTTCAAGCCTGGGCTTGTTTTAGTCGCGACTTATTGCGAATTGATTGTTTATACGAATCGAAACAGGAGAACTGCACGATGCTATTGTCTATATTTGAGCTGATTAATATTTGTATCATAATATATAATTTGATTTTTTTTTCATTGGTGAATCTAGATGATCCTACTGTCTTGAATGATTTCGAAACGCAGCTTGAGCTAGATGCGATGCGAGAAAGGCAAGATGAGGCAGAAGCCGAAAAGATTCAAGTAAGCGCAAAGACCAAGATGGCAGATAAAGAAGACGGCTCTGACAAGGAAAATATTCCTCCGTTAAAGAGACAGAAAGTCGAGAACAAGAAAAAGACCACAACTTGTGCCGGCACAACTGCGCAGAAGAAAAAGGAGAAAACGAAAAAAGATTCCAAAGGCAAGGCGAAAAAGGTAATTTATTAGTTAACGTTACTCGTTTATACGAATATAAAATCAAAAACAGGAAAATAAATTTGTTTACTTTGTTTGAAAATTTATTTTTCAGAATGAAATAGCGTGCCGCAATTTAATATACTAAATATATATATCAAAACAAAAGAAAATTATTCAAAAATGAATTAAATGCAGTGTGACCAGATTTTGCAAGGCAATTACTAAATAAGCATGCAAAAAATTACCAAAACGTAGAAAAAATTATTAAATTTCTGCTGTCAACCAAAGTGGTCTGAAAATCAATAAAACACCTCAGCAAAACAAAATCAATAAAACGCTTTCCATCACTGAAACTATGTTTTTTCCATGTTTTTCTTTCTCACTTGTACTTTTTGGTTGCAATTGTGCAAAATGCAAATATGACGCCACAATGATTGGGCCCGGCCCCGAGCCCGCAATCAGGAGTGGTGATCAGCAGGATTCCCTCGATTCAAGTGATTCAGCAGGACAGCTTGGGCCAGCAGCTGGCAATTTGGATATACAGCTTTTGCACGCATGGACCTGCAACTGTTCTCATCGAATTTTTGAATAACAGGTTGTGTCATCATGGTGTGTTTGGTTGAATTTCATGGGATAACCAAAATATTACTAACTTCAAGCGAAATTACTAAAAAAATTACCAAAAATTTTCAATTATCAAAAAAGTCAGAAAAATCGCGAAATATTACCAAAAGTAATTAAAATTACCAAATCTAGTCACACTGATTCAATGTGGCCAACGGTTTGGTCAGCGGATCTTCATTTTCGACAGTAATTCATGAGGTGTAAGAAGTATATGATGGGTGCTGAAGCGAAGGCTCTTCGTCTTGAGTTAGTAACTGGGCCTTCGCTTAAAACGTTTGAAATTCTCCTTATATTCTTCACCAATGCAATCATCGTATATCTTACATGAATTACTGTTCTCCATTAATATCATTTTTGTTGCTGTAATTATTTTGTAGATAATAACTATTGAAGCAGAGAATTGCCCTGCTGACCATGATGAACAAACCTCCAATGAAAAACCAGAAGAAAGAAAACCTGGTACATTAGACTTCCTTTCCAGTGAAGACCAGACCCGAGTACAACGTCTACTATATCTTTGTGAGAGAGAACCGACTGATGTTTCGACACAGACTGCAATACATAACACTGAAGGGCCAAAAGATGTTGCCACAGTTGCCACACAGACAACATCTTATTCAGCAATTACTGCAGAAATTAGTCCAGCTGTTTCGTGCAACTGCCAGAAAAAAGTTTTGGAAAATCAAGACGTCATCAAAAGAATGCTCGACACAATATTGCTCCGTAAAAAAGAAACATTAAACAGTCCAGTAACGTCTGAATGGGAAGATGTTACTGACATCAGTAACTTCAACTGCACATTCGCTGTTGGTTTAGATGCTGACAACAATTCTGAGGGGATTGTGGATGAAGAAATGTGTGAATCCATGTATCAGCACAACGAAAGTCCCATCAAAATACCAAGCCCCACCTCATCACCATGCCCCACCACATCACCTTGCCCCACCATATCACCATGCCCCACAACAGTACCTTGTCCCACCTCAGCAGCATGCCCTACCACAGCAGCATGCCCTACCACAACATTATATTGCAGTTCTGCACAAGTGCAATTATATGATGATGTGTTTCGAAAAAGTTCTTCAATGGCCAACTACGCAAAGAACCTTGTGTTCGAACTTTTCAAACGGGACGAGTTGATAGGGAAAAACTGTGCCGGTGTAAAGGGTAAGCAAGGAATTGGTTCTGATCCCCGGATGGACATTGTTCGAGAAAACACCTTCAAAAAATATAGAGTTACAGACAGAAAGGTGGCATGGGGTGTGTGCCGCAAGGCTATTGACACAGCATTGCGAAAAATGAAGTATTCATTGTAAACTTAAATTTATATTAACAATTAAATCACAACTGTGATGTATATTTTATACTTATACTGTACACTGTAGCATTAAAATTTGTTTTTATAGTTATACTGGTATTTTTTCAATAAAATATTAAATGTTGGAAGTGTGGTTATAATTTTTCACAAGTGAAAAAAATCACGTGCAAAATCATGAAAAGTCTGGGAATTAAAGTGGCACTGTCATTAACCCTTTAAGTAGCAATGCGCCCTTATTTTACTCTGTCTCACGCCAGATTATTTTACTCTGTCTAATGCCTGGCGATCTTACTTGTCAAGGGGAGAGTGCTGCCACTCAATGGGTTACAGTAATCAGACTATCTGCATGCCCATGCACTTACCCTATTTGTACCGGGGGTGCGCACAATGAGCGCACCCCTATAAATATGTATCCGTCATTCCTGAACAAATGATCGCATTTGCTTTCATGACTTTAAATGTTTTTCCTCTGCCTGCATGACTGCGAAAATTTTTTTCTGAAAATTCAAAGTTATCCGGACATTTGCAGACATTTGTCAAACAAGGTGTCGGGGCCAAAAATAAAAAAATGTGGGTTGGACAGTATTTTTTGGCTGACTCACTTCCCAGGACATAAATAACATAATATAATTAGAGAACATATAAAGATGGATTATTACACATGATTTGCAAAGTAAAATCTCCATAATATATAATATAAAATAGTAAAATATAGTATATAAACATATAATATAGCATACTATACAATGCTTATATAATATAAAATACTTATTTATAATATTTTTATATATTTAAATACACATATTTCTTTGTACCTTCAAGGCATAACATCTCCCTGTCATTCAGCAAGCATCAAACGTGTAGCATGCATTATATATTGAACACTTTCGTCATATTAAATTTTCAATGTAAATATTGTGTTTTCAAACCTATACTGCAGGCTCGTAGCTCACCTGCCTTACACTTCATGTAACGCATAGTATATTGGTATAAAACATCATGGCTGCCATTTCGTATTTTTTCTACAAACTTTTGTTGGTCGACTTCAGTGTAACATTTTAAGTTTACACTAAAGAAGTTATGCCAACAAAAAGTGCTAGAGTTTCAACACAATGCACAATTGCGAATACTATTCAATTTATAGACCATTATTACAACAATGACACTGTCACAGTGATATGAAGGTAAAATCAGTGATGTTGAAACTTGAAAATGATTTAATTGGATAGTTTATATGAGGGAGAGGTAAGTTTCAGTTGTATGTCTTTTCATATGGCACAGAAATGCTACCTTGGAAAGTAAAATAGTGGTGTTTATGGACATCTGAGATATGCTATAACATAAAAGTATGTCTCTTGAATGTAAAAGACCCAAAAAATATCACATCCAAAATGTTTTGTTATCTCTTTACAAAATATAACCAAAATGGGTAAAATATTAGCTATATTCGCCATTTTTGGATAGGCGGTCATATTCAATGGGACCAAAAAACAGCATTTTGGATGTGAATTTAACTTTTATGTTATTTTTAGGTTAAAGGAAGATAAAACTTACTAAAAATAAAACTTATAGGACAATGGCAATTAATTGACAGAATGTCTGAGTGGTGCGCCCTATCAGCGCACCCCCAGTCATATCAACATGAAAAAACCCCGATACAATGCCCAGAATCCCCAGATGCATGCCACTTTATTATTTTACTCTATCTAACGCCAGATTATTTTATTGGTCAACACTTTTATTGTCACACACAACTCTCATGCTTATACATAACATCTTACATTATATTTTTACTAATAATTTATATGTACATCAAACCAATTGTGTAATCCCAAAAAGCTGAAAAACCAAGAAAATACATTTGGGTATCAGAGAGTTACTGAAACAGATATTTTGACATCTCGATTTTGACACAAGGTTTGAATTTATATAGACTGCAAGCAGTTACAGTAGCAGTCCCTCGGGTAACTTGTGATCAGGTCTATGAATAAATAAATAGGCCTCATACAAACCTTAACAAAAAGCCATGCCATACAACCATATTTTTGGTTGTAAATCTGATTGGTCTAGGAGACAAAATTCTTAAGTTTAGGCTGTAATTTGATTGGTTGGTGCTAATTAGATTATGTTGACATATTTTATAGTGATCAGAACTATAATTAGATTGTTGTCGTTGTGTGAAATTTAAATTTCTCCTGCAACATTTTGATTGGATACTAAATATAAACTTTGCTGTGGGTAGAAGACGATCAGATTATTAAGGTTTTGTGTCAGGCTTATATTTGTAAAATAGAGCCTGATCTCAGGTTATCTCTGAAGAGAAAGGAGGGACTACCGACAACACATAAAAGATTGATGTGTTGTTGGCAGTCCCTCCTTTCCCATGCGGACCTGTGGAAAGGAGGGACAGCTCGACAGTGCATCTGCACATTATTTTGGTTTTAAAAACAACATGCAAATAATTACTAATAATTGACTGACACACAACTTTAATATTCAAACCCTTTGTTTAAAAAGCATTGTGCACACATTGTAACCATCAAAATAATTTGCTGCCTGGATGCAAAGTTATATTTGTATTTTTCAGACTGTTGTACTGTATCTCTCACATTACCAGACTACCATTTGCTTCCATCAGTACCTACACCTACAGTAAATTCCTAATTAATATCCAGTAGGGCCACCACCACATGCTATAACAGCCGGTACAACTTTTCGCACATGGTTTACATATCGCTGGCACATTGCAGGGGTTACTGTTTTCCAATACTCTTGAATGCCTTGCACTAGTTCCTCTTTGTTGGTTGGCTTTGTAAACTTACGCAGGTGGTGTTTCAGATTTGCCCAGAAATTCTCAATTGGATTCAAGTCCTATACAATAAGAAAGTAATTAATATTGAAATTTTCATAATATATATTATTATAGTTGCCACTGTAGCCTGTTCTATTCAGTGAAGAAAGGCTCTATAGTGGCAACTTTCCTTGGACTTTAATGGGTAAATCTGCTATGAAGTGTCAAAACACATCACAATAATAATAAAAATACTGTACAGTATGTTTTCCACCCTTCTTAGACAGCGAATCTTTTAACATTCAATTGAATGACATTGGTGCATACCGGTGATTCTGGGGGAGTTGGCCAGTGATTTATTCCATTCGCTTTCATCCACTCTTTGGTTGAGTTGCTGGTGTGCTTGGGATCATTATCCTGCCAGAAACGGTGACCATCAGGGTATTCACTTGCGATGAAAGGAAGCAAGTTCCTTTCCAAGATTGTCTGGTACCCAATACTTTCCATTATCCCAGTGAAAATGCAAACTTTTGTAGCACCTCTGTATGATATGCCAGCCCATACATGAACCTACAAAAATATAGTGTAAGATATCTAAGATCACAACAAATAAAACCACGAGAGTTGATCGATCATGTGGTCAAACGCAGTTCAGGGAATTTCTACTGTAAAGTTGGTTCAGAGTGTGATTAATCAAGGGAGGACCATTTGATGCAGTGTCGACCTTTAATTCAAGAAGAGTCACGCAACAGATAAAATTGCATGCCAATGTCTGCACCTGGTCCTGATCGATAAATACATGCCAATTAATTCACTCTGATGCATCATGCCATCGTGATTCATGCCAAACATACATGCAATAATTGCCTTTTATTGTGCTATGTCTTTGCCAATTGATACATTGTTGTAGCGAATACTATCTAACTACTAAGTAGCGAAATTATATTATCTAAGTACCAAGTGCAAGGAAACGAATTTCGTACTAAACTTTGCAACGAGCATCCATTACAAATTTGTAAACAATTTGAATCCATATTTCAAATACGAATTGAAAATCGGGAGCAAAGTTTAATTAATAAACAGTTTACTGAAGATTGCATTTGACTATAAAATATAAATATACTATATAATACTAGCAAAATGTATGTTACCTTGAGTGGATGTTTTGGTCGGCCTTTACGTTTCGGCAAACTGCCATTCTTGCGGAAACAGTATCTGGTATACTGCTGGATTTCGACAGTGGTCTCGTCTGAAAAGATGGCATTCTCAAAGCTATCCTTCTCTTTCATTGCTTTAAGGCAAAATACCAGCCGCTTTACCTTGTTCTTTTCACGAATTAGTTGGCAGTATCGAGCTTTTTCGTGTTTCCAACCAAGTTTTTTACGCCTTACGTTTCGAATAGTGGATGTTGAAATTGTTACACCCCGTTCGTCGCGCAATAGCTTTTGAATCTCTCCCGAGGTTAGCTCATCGTTAGCTTTCATTTTCTCGTCAATAAAACTAACATCTTCTTCGGAAAGAATCGACTTTCGTCCACTCCGTTGAGCATCATCAATACTTCCCGTTCGTTGATATCTCGCGATAAACGAAGACACGCTTGTCCGTGATGTTTTTATTCCGTCCTCTTCTTGTAAGATCCTCACAATATTCACGATTGAATTATTCGCCATTCGTAAGGAAATAACTCGATTTCTTGCATATTGCGACAATTTTCCCATGTTTCAATTTTAGAAAAGGCTCTTCGGCTGCCGAGGCTGTTAAAAATATGTCTGCAACGCTTGTGTATAAAAACGTGGTGTTATGAAAAGTGAAACGCGATAATTTCCGACGATCTACGAAGAGAACTTTTTCTCAGCTGCGTCCTCGCCCGCGGACGCAAAGCGGACGCACGGCGCCCGCACAGTGGACGCACCCGCAAGCGCCCGCAGACGCACAGTGGACGCAGGACGGACGCACGGCGCCCGCAGGACGGACGCACCCGCGGGCGCCCGTGGACGCACAGTGGACGCAAGATACCCGCGTCTTGGACGCGGTTTTTGATAAGTTATTTCTTGGCAGTACTGTACATGTATATTTAGGTAATCGGGTGTGCGGGTTATGATAAGGTGGACTTCAATAATTTGGATTCTTGCACTTCACTTGGTTGCCTTAATATTAGAATGTTAGGGTTTGTAATCCAAGTGAGAATATATACATTTTAAGACCTAACCAGGAACGACTGCGAAAAATGCAGCACAAGGTCCTCTGGTAGGAATTGAACCTACGGCCCTGCGATTCCGGTGCAGCGCTCTAATCAACTGAGCTACAGAAGCCAGCTGTTGAGCTTTAACCGTAAGTTCATGTATATTTAGGTAATCGGGTGTGCGGGTTGTGATAAGGTGGACTTCAATAATTTGGATTCTTGGACTTCACTTGTTGGAATTAACATTAGAATGTTAGGGTTTGTAATCCAAGTGAGAATATATACATTTGTATATTCTCACTTGGATTACAAACTATTCTCATTTGGATTACAAAATATATACACAAAATATATACATGTACTATACATTTGTATATTCTCACTTGGATTACAAAATATTCTCACTTGGATTACAAACCCTAACATTCTAATATTAATTCCACAAGTGAAGTGCAAGAATCCAAATTATTAATTTCAAATGCCCCGCCGGGGCTAAGGTTCGAGTGGAAATGCCCAACCCCCGGGATGTGCTTTACAGGAAAATGGCTGGGCAAGGGGGATGGGCACACTTGGATTTGGCTGATGCATTAAAAGTCCTGTGCTTATTCCAGACTGCTTGTCAAATAATTACTTGCTAGAAGTAGAAATTTACTCTGACCACTGGATGAAGAAGACATTAAATAAGTACTGGTCAATAAACAGAAATGTATTTTATTTCATAGTATTACAATTTTATTTTTATACTATAAAAATAAAATATAAACATGCAGCATAGAATATGCAAATTCGAGGCAAAATTATTGTTGAATCGGTTTATTTATAGGATTTTATAACAAATAGCAACTATAAAAGTTTGTACCTTGTCTTCACATCGCTTTATTCTGTTAGCCAATGCTTTTAAATTTACATATTTTAGAATCAGTTCCTTTCCTGGTAACTGCATTTCTAAATGAAATCATCGTGAGTAGTGAGTGCTGAGCAGGCCGTTTTACTATAAACAAATTTTAGGAATTGATAACAACTTTGAAAAATATATCGTTGCACATTCGGTCACAGTCGGAAAAATGTTCATAGTATGTTGTACCGTCGTTTGCAACTAACGATGAACAGTCGCTCATAAAAACATTCGCGTGATTAGAATCTTCAATGTTTGTCAAGAACAACAACACTTAATTGTTGTTTCCCATGTGTGCAATAATAAGTAACAAAACTTTGTGTGGTCTGAACGTGTTGGGCTAGAGACCTAGTGGAAACTTTTACAGGCTTTTTAATGAGAATAGAGAATGTTTTATCTGCAACTGTTCACCCTTAGTTGCAACCGACGGTATTTGACAGCGTAAAATTGCCTGTGGCTGTGATAACTGATATAAATAAAATACAGTCTGGTTATACTGACTTGAGCATGTCATGACAAACTCTTTATTGGAAAATTGTGAAGAAATAGTCGAATATAGAGGGTCGAATATCAAAGTTCAACTTGTATAGCTTCAGTATCATTGGTACATAGCGTTGTGAAGACAAGCCTTTGCTTACCTTTCGCTTCAGCAGTCTTTTTTTTCCATGCTTCTCTACGCTTTCCCAGGCGAGCTTCTCTTTCCTCAGCAGTCTCCTCGAGCAAACGTTGTCGTCTTCGCTCCTTCCTTTTCGCTAGACGTTCGGCTTTCTTGTCGTTTCCTTGCCGCTCTTCATTTGGCTCCATGCATATCTTTTCAACTGGTATTTGATACCGTAATTGTTTTATTAAACTTTTTATAGAACAAATTGCTTTGAAAGCTGTCAAAGTTTTTTGCAAACGTACAAAATACTGTAGTGTAAAAAGCAAATTATTTTCATGAAGTATCTGTCAGTTGAAGTCGTCATTTGTCATACAACAACAAATTTTAAATTTGACCAATCAGTGTTCGCTATCCATGACAGTCCGCCATATTTTTGAGATCAGTGAGGATGACCACCCACTCAAGGTTCGTTGGTCACGCCCGCGATATTTGATGAACTTTAGACTTGGCTAATGCTTTCGTTTCCCCGGGTGTAAATAGCCGGGGGGAATTAGTACCCTCGCACGGCGCTTCGCGCCTCCGGCTCGGGGATTAAGTTATTATCGCAAAATTTATGGCTACGATTCATATAAATTGGATTAACAGTGGAGAGAGTTACCCTCTTTCGAATACAGAACAGAATTAATAACAGCAGAAAGCATTTCATGTATAATCAGCCTTTCTAAAAGATGCTTACGTGTTAATATACGAATTCTAGTGATCCCAAATTTCCTTCGTTTATTGCTATAAAATGTTTGAAGCTAGCTTCGCGGTATAAACGGCGTCGCAATTTGACTCACTATGTGATTATTGCAGGGTCCATGCCCTTGCGTTTCTTTGTATAATCATTAGGATTAAGTTTCTTTCATTAGTCTTTGCCATTCCGACGTTTGGGAGCTTGTGCCCAATTTAGTGTATAGCATTGGAAAGAGGATGAACTCCTGCACCATATAGTTGAGTTTCGAAACAATTAGGGAGGCTGATTTTGTACAAACGCTTGCTGAATATAGATGTTGGCACAGTGTAATTCTATTGTCTAAATTTAATATATAAACAAAAGAAATGAGTGTAATTCTATAAACAAATTAAACTCAATAAGCACCTTATTAATCCTTGCCGTTTTATTTTATTTATTTACTAGCTTTGCCATTAATGATTGGTGATCCCTACAGGGCTTATTGCCTCATTCACAGGGTCCTTATACTAAACATTTACATCAATTACAACACATTTTATCTACAATGATCGACAAAGGACGAACGTCGACACGATCGAGTGACATTTAACACAGCCAGTTTTAAACGATTGTGCTACATTAATGTCATATATAATGGACGTTGGTGAGCTTGTACCCCAATTTGCTGTACGTCGTTAGAAAGAGCATGAAATACTGCACAATATAGTTGAGTTTCAGAACAATTAGGAATACAGATCTTGCGGAATATAGATGTTTGCGCAATGTAATCCTATATAAACAAAAGCACCACCTTATTAATCCTTGCCGTTTTGACATTGGTGAGCTTGTGCCCCAATTTGCGGTACATCATTGGAAAGAGCATGAAATACTGCACAATATAGCCATTTTGGGAAGAATTGGGAAGCCAAATTTTGCGGAAACGCTTGCTGAATAGTGATGTTTGCACATTGTAATTCTGTAGTCTGGCATTTAATATACAGAAAAGTAATTAGCACTTATTAATCCTTGCTATTTCGACGTTTGTTAGCTTGTGCCCTAATTTGCTGTACATAATGGAAAAAGCATGAAATACTACTCAATATAGTCGAGTTCGGGAACAATTGCGGAAGACAGGTTTTGGGGCAAACGCTTGCGGAATATAGATGTTTGCGCAATGTAATTTTATAAACAAAAGTAATTACCACCTTATTAATCCTTGCCGTTTTGACATTGATGAGCTTGTGCCGCAATCAGTACATCATTGGAAAGAGCATGAAATACTGCATAATACAGGCGAATTTTGGTAACTTTTTTATGTACCGTTGCCGTGGTTTTGAAAGTAGTCTTACGCCCGTATTCTAAAAGCTCACTCACACTCCATGAGTGGAAGTTCAGTCTGAGCTTCTCTCGAGTGTCATTGCTGTTTTTGAATAGCTGGAGGGTCAGTGTCGTACCGTTACTACGTGACTATACTCACATTCCCGGCAGCTGTTGAAAAACAGGGCTGACACTCAAGAGAAGCTCAGATTGAACCTCCACTCATGCATTGAGTATGAGTGTGAGTGAGCTTTTAGAATACGGGTGTTAGTGCAGGTTTCTGTAATTATGTCAGTAGATTACTAGATTTTATATATAAAGAGTTCATTATTATAATTTTTGTATGATTTTAATCTGATAATCTTAGCGTTTTTTTAAATTTGAAATTGTACGAGGAGTGAAATTCTATGGAACTTTTTAGGTGGGAGAATACCTCGCACCTGCGAACAAGCTGGGTATGGGAGACCGAATTTTGACAAGTGTTATTTTATTAAGTTCACAATGTCCACGATGCATGCATGCATACGGTGGTTTGAAAATTAAAATTATATAAAAAATATAAATGTATTTGCCAATGGTTTCAGGATATTTTAAGGAAATTAAATATATCGATTTCATAAATGATTATATAATTGTAAAACACCGGTCACCAAAACTGAATCGAAAATGCATGGCTATATTTGGCAGCAATCCCAGTAAAACGATCTATTCTGTAACGAGTCGTCCGGTAACTCGAATCATAACTCGATGTGGATCCTCGTGGCTCTGGTTACTAACTCAAAATAGTCGCTATTAGCACTAGTGGCTAAACATGTACAATCAATTAGTCAATGTCAATGGCACATTGTCCTTGACAACGTTACTTAAAGTACATACGAAAAACGTCTATACGTGGCCTATAGATGACTTGCACAATTCAGCATAGAAGCCTTTACGCATCTCGGTAGAGCCCTATAATTGTCCTTCACGACGTAAATTACAAAATTGGCAGTTATGACGGTTTGAAATAAGCATGTATACATATGAAACGTATAAATAAACAATTTTTGACGTTGTCCAAGATTGTATAGTAATGCGTTGACGCGTTTGCTACTGCAATTTACTATATACGAAGCGTGTTTTTGAAAGAACGAGGCAACACTATATATGTACAATTAGCCATAACGCTTTTGTCGTTGGTCTGGTAGGTTTTATTGATATATAGGCCTACGTGGTTTTGAAAGAACGAGGCAACACTATATATGCACAAGTAGGTTAAAAATTAACACCCCTCCCCCCCTCCCCCATTAGACCATCTTACACCATCTTCACCACCTGACAACAGCTGTTCAGCTGAACCATCCTACACCATCCGACACCACACTACAAGCGTCTGACAAACAAAGCATCTGACACCATCTTACACCATCTTCACCAGCTGACAACCGATGGCTATATTGGACATATATGCTTTCCCCAGGACTAATGCCCAAACATCCAGTGCTTGAACTGAAAGCGCCTGGGATCTGGTACCCCATCTTTTGTTCACGTAGGCAACAGCAGTGGAATTGTCCATCTGCAAAAGAATATGATTGGGGATGGACGTCTGGGAGTTGAAAAGGGCTTGTAATCCCAGGTAAGCTGCTTTGAGTGTCAACCAATTGATGTGCGATTTCCCCTCCTGTAGAAGCCAACGACCACCTGTTGCACCCCATTCCAAGTTTCCCACCACCCCAACAGGGAGGTATCGGTTGAAATAGTCAACTTGAAGGGCACTGAGCGCAGGGGTTGGCCATTGAATGTGTGAAGATGGGGGGATGACCACCATATCAGTTCTGTCATACTTACTTGGGATAACGTCACCTGAAAACGTTTTCGATGCTTGACACATTGGTGAGTAGATATTGCCTGGTCGCGCTGTAGGCTGCGATAATATAAGGGTGCTCTCCAAACCCCAGTCTGAGCTGCATGACTCATTCTGCCAATAAGGGATGATAACTTCCCTAAAGATATTGGACTGATCTGTTGGATTTGGTGTGCTTCTTGGATGATTAACTCCAACTTCTCTGGTGGAAGTGAGATCGTCATCTTCATTGTGTCCAGCAGACCCAGGAATACCAGTTGCTGTATCGGATGAAGTGAACACTTCTCGCGCTTGATGGTAAATCCTATAAGGTTTCAAGCTATAATCCTGATGGTTTCAAGATCTTTGTAAATGCCCGAGGGGCAGACGAGAGTCCGAAGGGTAGGCAACGAAACTCGTACAGATTTCCGCGGTAATAGAATATAACGCGAAGATAACGGCAGTGGTCCTGATGGATGGGGACAGTATAATACGTATCTTCCAGGTCCATTTTCATGAGGTAGTCCCCTGGTTGGACCAGGGCTTTCACAACTTGGAGACTCTCCATTTTGAATGGCTGGGGTTCCACAAATTGGTTCAGGGCACGAAGGTTTATGACGGGACGATACTGGCCAGAATTGTTCTCTTTCTCCACTAGAAATAAGGTTGACACAAACTGATCCGGAACGGGTTGGACCAGCTTGATTGCTGCTTTGTTGAGCAACTCCTGAACTGCATTGTCCATGAGGTGCTGCTGTCGTAATGGAGGATTGGTCTCTCTCAATCTCCATTGGTGTGGAGAACGGATCAGAGGTATTTTGTAACCCTGTACCGTTTGTAGGATCCAAGGATCCTGAGTGATTATCTTCCAATTTTCTAAACAATGAATTAGGCTGCCTGTAGTTGGGAATGTGTGCAATTGTATGTTTGTTAATCGTGGAAACGGATAGCCAGCTTTTGCCTGCTGCTGACTCAGTTCTGGGTTGCAATCGTTTTGAGGTTCCCGGATTGTTATCTCGGGGGTATAGTTCCACCTTAGTTTTCGATTGCCATTACCCCGGCTAGTGGCTCCCGAGCGACCACGAAAGGGCTGCGGAGAAGGAATGAATCTTGCCGAAGATAGGGCTTTGTCATGCGGTTTGTTGATCAAGCTCATCTTTGATACGGTCATGAACCGATCTGGAAAGAGGTGTTGATCAGATGGAATCTCTTCAATAAGGGTACGCTTGCCAACCTCAGTTAGGTACTCAGAAAATCGACGCTGTTGCCATGAATTTAGACGAACATTAGCATTGCCAAGAAGGACTAGGGCATCTTCAAGCATACCCTTAACTAGATCAGGATCTGGACCCTCTTCCGCTTCACTGGGTGATCCAGAGCAGTAAGTGCTGCTATGATTGATCGTGCGGTAAGCAAGAACGCCCCCTGCTTTTCAACCAAGGCATCATCAAATGCAAACACATCCTTGGTTTTAAGATACCCATGCATCTTGCGTATCTCTTCTTTCATACCTGCCTCCATTGTGGGGGCATGTAATATTGATTCAGTGCCTTCTAGAAGCGGATAGTTCTCAAGGAGACCTTGCCATGTTTCCTTCGGTAGGGATTTTGAAAAGGCTTGAGTGGTTAGTTCTCTCAAATCATCAGAGAGTTCAACCTTTGATTCAGTGGTGTAAAAGCGATTCCCTCGGGATGGACCAGGCTGTGTTTGAACCTGGTCAGTGGCTGCAGGTTCTATACTTCGTGTAGGTGTTATTAGACCCAATGATTTTAAGCCCCCTGCAGCTAGGACACTTGATAAGGCAACTGGCAATGTTTTCGCCACTGTCTCAGGCACAAGTTTCTCAATGTCTAGACGAGAAACGGCTTCACCATCGCCCGCCGTATTGATCGGGTCGTTTGGCGCATTTTCGTTACCCTAAAAGGATAACAGAAGGCGGTCAATGACTCGTACTTTCAATCGTATACAATATTATACGATAGAACCCCGAACCAAGGTATTATTCCCCAAAAACAATCTATAAACTCACAATTTTGACCCAATATTAACAGTCAAACGACATAGATTTTATAGATATTTTCCCCGAAAAATATATAATTATGAATGTAAATATATTAAAAAATGATCATATTCTGTTACTCACAGTTTGTGCTTCCTTAAAGGCCATGATCTCGAGACTTTTTCCCCAGGATGCTTGTGAAACAGATGGATTATAATTTATAAATATGGAAATGATTTACTGTGGTCCGACAAAAAACACGCCACAAGAGAAAAGAGGACATTCGGAACATGCGCAGTTCATTTTATTATTGCTGATATCGAGCGGCGAGAGAATGTTTCTACTACTATAACTGAAATAGCAGTTCGACTTATCCTGAATTGAAATTCTAAAGATTTGAAAGACTCTCCTGTTGCTAAATAGCGAAGTGTTACCGCCAGTCGTTCTTCAGGCTTAATACTTGCTCTGATAGCCTTATCACACTTTCGTATGGGACTTTCAACGAGGTCTGAAAAGATGCCAAAATGTTTTTATCCATGCGAAAATAATTAAAGTATGATGTCTCGTCTTCGAGTTCAAGTTCAGGAACTAACTACACAAAGAAAACCACAACTTACTCAGTGAAATGTACATGACTTCGTTACATTCTTTAGGTAAAAAAAAAACAAAAAGAATTAACGAAAGCTTTTGGAACCACTTTTGTCAAACCGCGCTCATCGTGAGAATTTTCGCCATACCTCGTATTACCTCCACAAACACTATATGACTATAATATAGTTTCCATGAACTCATGGAGAATTTAAAATTAACTCAATTAAAACATTGGTATCGAAATTGAGGAGACCGGATTTCACACCTCGAGTGACTAGACTGACTAGAGACACCTTAGCCTCAAACACCTCGGCTAATATTTCGTCTTGTTCTGCGTTTATACAATTATACTAATAATTAGTATAGTCTTTATTAAATAAAATGCTTGAAGAAGGAATATCTTCAAAGAACTGCCAACATTATATATATTGTATTTTCTCGTGTATAGTCTTATCTCCTTGTCCGAGACGGATCAAATTGGACCCTTCGTAGAGTAGTGTTACTCTCACGTGGAGTCGCAAGATTCCCGCGAAGAGTTATTTGACCCTTCCATGGAGTCAAAACTGCCCTTGGAGTTGAAAAGACCCTTTCGAGGTGTAGTAACTACCCTCTTGCCAAAGGGACGGAAATGACCCCTAGGGGTCAAAACTACTCTTCTGGATTTACAGTGTAGAACAGTATTTTGAGAATCAGAAACTGAAACGGAAAGACCCGTAACTGAGGCTACTATGGTAACAATGACGTTTCAAAATGGCTGCTAAATTCCATTTGAACTAGTCCCCGAGCCGACGGCGCGAAGCGCCTTGCGAGGGTACTAATTCCCCCCGGCTATTTACACCCGGGGAAACGAAAGCATTAGCGGAGTCTAAAGTTCATCAAGTATCGCGGGCGTGGGTGACCAACGATGGGTGGTCATCCTCACTGATCTCAAAAATATGGCGGACTGTCATGAATAGCGGACACTGATTGGTCCAATTTAAATTTTGCATTATAACGACTGGCACGAATGTATCACGACAGCGAAATAGCAAACATTTCTTGATTTGATGATTGATAAATTTCTTGCAAATATATTTCATTTTTATTCGCATTTTTGCAAGATTTTGTAAATTTCAAAAGCTCTCTCAAAATGAAACTGCGAAAGAAT